CAAGTGTAGGGGGAACAGTCCCTATTCTGCTCTGTGTGAGGAGGAGGAACAGGAAATGAGTAGCTCGGCATCCAACCTTGTGCAAAGGGGGTCTTTCATGATGTCGTGCCTGTTGAGGGACCCTCGTATAAAAAGGCTGAAGGAGAACGACCTGTGCTGGGTGTCCACGCTACTAGACCCCTGGTACAAGCAGACAGTGGCGGAAATGTTACCGAATTACAAGTCGGAAAGGATGCAGCATTTGCAAAATAAATTAAAAAGTATGCTTTACACAGCGTATAAGGTTGATGTCACAGCACAACGGGAATCTAACAGGGGAAGAGGTGAAAGTCATCCTCCTCCTCCCACGACCACGCCATATCTGCCAAGTGACCCTATGTAGGGGTAACAGTCCCTATTCTGCTCTGTGTCAATGTGTATCAGGGGCTCTGAGGACAGGTGTCAATCCATATCTGCCAAGTGACCCTATGTAGGGGGAACAGTCTCTATTCTGCTCTGTGTAAGTGTGTATCAGGGGCTTTGAGGACAGGTGTCAATCCATATCTGCCAAGTGACCCTATGTATGGGGAACAGTCTCTATTCTGCTCTGTGTCAGTGTGTATCATGGTCTCTGAGGACAGGTGTCAATCCATACCTGCCAAGTGACCCTATGTAGGGGGAACAGTCTCTATTCTGCTCTTTGTCAGTGTGTATCAGGGATCCTTAGGATAGGTGTCAATCCATATCTGCCAAGTGACCCTATGTAGGGGGAACAGTCCCTATTCTGCTCTGTGTCCGAGTGCATCAGGGGCTCTGAGAACAGGTGTCAATCCATATGTCAAGGTGTCAATATGTCATATGTCAGGTGTCAATCCATATTCATTGTGATTTAGGAATGTTAGGTGATTTCTGCCCTTTATGGATTAAAACCAGACTCTGCATCAACTGCGTAATTTTCCATGGGAGTTTTGCCATGGATCCCCCTCCGGCATGCCACAGTCCAGGTGTTAGTCCCCTTGAAACAACTTTTCCATTACTATTGTGGCCAGAAAGAGTCCCTGTGTGTTTTAAAATTCGCCTGCCCATTGAAGTCTTTCGTGTTCGCGACATCACTATATTTGAATACTTTTTTTTGTAGGGTTTTTTTTTTTTAAATAGGGGATATTTTTCTGTATGTTTATGGCAATATGTATATGTCCGTTAAAAGTGATTTATTAACTTTTTCCAGCAATGTGCTGGACTTCTCACTGCTGTCCCCGCCCCCACTCCGCCTGCTTGGCTGAGATCATCAAATCGTGGTAGTAATTCCTAGGCAGTAATGTAAACACTGCTTTTTCTCTCATAAGAGCAGACATTAGGCTGTTAGTGTAGGACCTGCCAAAGATGGGGTACATTGACGTTGTGGCAGGCTTATGCAATGTATGATCATATAATGTAACTAAACCCCCATTATTTTTGCCTAGATTAGGTGTTTTTTTTAAAAAAAAACAACAACAAAAACAAATAAAATCTTTCAACATTGAAGTTGCTGTTTAGTGGATAGGTGAGTGCGCTGGATCTTGTGTATTGTATTATTTGGCCCCCAGCAGCACCCCCATTTATGCATGTTAAGGTGAGTACAGCCAACCCCCTCTTGTTTTATATATATTTGGGAGTCTAGCCAACTCCTTGGTTTTGCACCCCTCCCTGTCACAGGTGCCTCATCCCAGGGCCCTATTTAGCCTTGTACCGCAGAGAGCCCCAGATGGAATTTATTTCCCCAAGTAGGTTAATCTCATAAGAGCAGACATTAGGCTGTTAGTGTAGGACCTGCCAAAGATGGGGTACATTGACGTTGTGGCAGGCTTATGCAATGTATGGTCATATAATGTAACTAAACCCCCATTATTTTTGCCTAGATTAGGTGTTTTAAAAAAACAAAAACAAAAAAAAAAACAAATAAAATCTTTCAACATTGAAGTTGCTGTTTAGTGGATAGGTGAGTGCGCTGGATCTTGTGTATTGTATTATTTGGCCCCCAGCAGCACCCCTATTTATGCATGTTAAGGTGAGTGCAGCCAACCCCCTCTTGTTTTATATATATATATATTTGGGAGTCTAGCCAACTCCTTGGTTTTGCACCCCTCCCTGTCACAGGTGCCTCATCCCAGGGCCCTATTTAACCTTGTACTGCAGAGAGCCCCAGATGGAATTTTTTTCCCCAAGTAGGTTAATCTCATAAGAGCAGACATTAGGCTGTTAGTGTAGGACCTGCCAAAGATGGGGTACATTGACGCTGTGGCAGGCTTATGCAATGTATGATCATATAATGTAACTAAACCCCCATTATTTTTGCCTAGATTAGGTGTTTTAAAAAAAACAAATAAAATCTTTCAACATTGAAGTTGTTGTTTAGTGGATAGGTGAGTGCGCTGGATCTTGTGTATTGTATTATTTGGCCCCCAGCAGCACCCCCATTTATGCATGTTAAGGTGAGTGCAGCCAACCCCCCACCCCCTTGTTTTATACTGCTTTTTCTCTGTTTACATTATAAAGCCTACAAAGGTTTAGCTATAATTGTTCTCGTGACAATAGTGTCCTTTTAAATGTTTGTGTTTTTTTTTTTTTCGTTACCATGGTATACCATACCATGACATGAGAGTTTGTATTTGTATTGAGTGTCTGCGTGTGTGTAAGGGTAAGAACGTATTTGCATGTACTTTGGACTGTGTGCAGTAGTGACTCAAGGATCAATACAGGGGGTAATAGGGGCTTCAATGGTTGCAAGGGACATGGGGGCTATAGTGGAGACAGGGGGATTGTGGCTGTAGTAGGACAGGAGGAATAGGGCTGAAGTGGGTGCAAGGGGCATAGTAACTGTAGTGATTATAGTAAGGTCATAAGGTCAGATGGTAATAGTGGCGGTTAGAGGAAATAGGGCCAATAATGGGAGCAGGGGATGATATGATGTAGTGGGTGAAGAAGCTAGTAGTGGAATAGTGGCTTTAGTGGATGTATGGGGGAAATTGGCTCTCAAGGGTGCCCGGGGTATAGGCTGAAGTGGATGATTTGGGGTACGTGGGGGTAGAGGTGTAGAGGGTGCAAGGGGTATAGGAGCTATATTGAGTGCAGGGGCTGTAGTGGGTGCAGGGGATAAAGGGGGCTTCTGTGGGTATGGGGGATGGAGGGATAGGAGCTGTGATGGGGCACTAGTGCGGGAGGTTATATGCTTATATACTTGCCGTGGGCCCTCTCAGGCAGGTGAGGAGATCAAAGATCTCCCTCACTGGCCCAATGGCTCTTAGAGAGAAGGGAGGAGGGACCTGGGAGGCAGATTGCTCCTCCCACGAGCATGCTGTTTGGAGTGTTGCCGCGCATTGCCATGGCAACGCTCCACCCAGCGCTCAGCTCGGGAGGAGTGAAGACAGCTTCCAGCCAGAGGAGCTGCAGACTATATAGATCACCACTAAGGTTGGCTGCACCCCCACCACCACCTTCACTAAAGGAATGCTGTTTTTATTAATGTACATTTAGTATTAAAAAAAAAAAAACACCAACAAGAAAACGTTTGCTCCATACACCACCTACCAACAGCAGCCCTCTCACACACAGCACCCCTCTCACACAGCACTCCTCACACAGCACTCCTTGTACACATCACACACACAGCACCCCTCACACACACAGCACCCTACACACAAACACATACACTGCAGTTGTGTATTCAACAGTCTGTGTATTCAGCAGTCTTGTGTGTTTGTGTGTGTGTGTATTCAGCAGACTGTGTGTGTGTACTCAGCACACGTTATTCATGTGAGTTGTTGTGTAGGCAGGGCCCCAAGGCACTGCTTTGCCTGGGGGCCCATAATGCTGTTAAGATGGCACTGGGAACAGCCTCTCCAAAGTCTTACAAATACATTACTAGGTTCTATCTAAGCCACCCCCAACACAAACCTACCTATTAATTAAAAGTATATGAGACACATAGCGTACTCTCAAAAGAAAATCACAAACTAATGAATGCCCAGCACATATTTTAGTGTCCCAGAAAAACACGCAGTGAGTGCACCCAATGCGCATTGGGAGTGTGTTTGTGTGTGTTTTTTCTTTTATTTGGCTTTGCATTATGAGCATAATTTATGAATGTGAATCAGTGGGTAAGTTGTGCATGCATTCACCAGATTTTTGGGGTGCAGAACTAACTGATAACATGTTATTATTGAAATAGTGATGAAGTCAGGAAATACACGCTGGGACGTATGACGTGAAGACGTTGACGTCGTGAGGCGGGACCAGGAATGCCCGCGAGTGAGGTGTAGAGAGCGTGGCTAGAGTGAGACGACCAAGCGCTGACTTATACACGGTGTGCTTTAGTACTTTGCCGGGCTGCTGCACAGCAAACTGGATAATAACAAAGTAGCGGTGAACGGAGGTGAAGGAGGGGGGAGAAGACCATCGGGAGAGAGATCAGAGCAATTGTGGCGAAGGGAGAAAGAAAGGAAAAAAAAAGCCGCGAAGATAATCAGATTAGCAGAGATGAACAACAGAGCGAAGGTACAATGAGTGAAAGCGGTTAAAGAGGGGGGCTCTGAAAGATTAAAGCTACCGAACGACTAAGGGTACTACCAAGGGTACAGCTAAAACTTGCTAAAACCTGAAAAAAAAAAAAAGAGAAAAGATACAAATATTTATTTCCTACCTGTGCTAATAATACTAAGTGCCTTTGAAGTGGGAATCTATTACTATAATATTACAAAACTATTAACTCTGAACAAAGTTAAAGTCTGAGGTCTCTCAATTGATAAAGAGGATGGGTGGGCTATCAGATTGTTTGGAGGAGTAAGGAGCAAAAAAAAAAGAAAAAAGGGATCCTTCCTATAAACGCTTAAAATACAAGTACCTGATCGGGTTCGGTTTGTGGGTTTTTTTTTCTGTCCTGTCGTTAAAATCTGCCACAATAACCCCCTCCACTAATTCTCTCCATATATATGTAACAACATCAACAAGTTAAAAACTAAAGAAAGGGAGAAATTAAGAAAGACATGGCTACAAAAAAATCTCAAGAAGATAGGAAGAAAAAAGAAAAGAAAGACTTACAGTCTGATAAAAGACTTTCGGGGTATTTTTCACCTGCACACTCTCAACAAAAGCCTCAAATCAACCCAGAGGACTCTGAAGAGAATCTGGAAACAAATTATAGTTTAATTAAAGAGGCACAAATAAAAACACCTATGACAGAAGATGTTCTCACAAAAAATTTGGAGAAATTTCACAGAGCTATAGGTGAAGACATGACGGCTAATACGAGAGAATTAAAGCAGAAATTTAAAATGATTCAGGTTAAATTAGCAGAAATGGAGGAAAACTTTAAAAAATTTGAAAAAAAATACAACACATGTCAAGAAACAATTGCAAGACTCACAAACAAAATAGGAATACTCGAAACTAAAATCTGTGATATGGAAGATAGATCCAGGAGAGCAAACATTAGAATAAGAAATATTCCAGAAGAGGTATCCAATGAAAAACTTGAAGGCTTTCTCCTAGAATTCTTCAAGAATTTGATATCGGATGGGGACCTCCATGATTATTTGACAGACCGGTGTCATCGACTGCCTAAACCTTACAATGCTTCGGAGACTTTAGTAAGGGACGTAATGGTAAAATTCCACTCTTATAAAACAAAAGAACGAATAATGGCAGCTATGAGGAACAAGCCGACAGTGGAGGAAAAGTTTAAGAATTTAATTATATTTCAAGATCTATCATTTTCAACTAGATCATGGCGAAAAACTTTCAAGGACTTACTGCCGACCTTGAGACAGAAGAACATTAATTATAGATGGGGCTTCCCTTCAACACTGAGGGTGTTTTGGAATGGAAAAACCGAAAATTTTGATTCTAAAGAATCATTGAACAGTTGGATGGAACTAACAAAGATCAAATAATAATTGAACCACTTTTTTTTTTTTTTTGATATATATAATGTTGTTTATGGATAAGGAGTATGGTTTATAAAACACAATAGTGTGAAGAAGACACAAGCATTTAAAATAATATGAAGCACAAAATCACTAGTAAACGGTTTCAATGGGGTAGAATTGTTAACGATAAAACGATTAGGAAGAAGTAGATATGCAGTAGATTTGGAGGGTGTACCTATAGTTTAATAATAAGGAGTATGGTTTATAAAACACAAAAGGACGAAGAAGATAAAAACACCTTAAATAATATGAAACACAAAATTACTAGTAAATGGCCTTGAAGGGACAAAATTGTTAATGCTAAAAACACAAAGAAGAAATAGATATTATGTAGTAGAATTAGAGTTTTTTCTTACAAAACACAACAGCGTGAAGAAGATAAAAGTATTTATATTAAAATAAAGCACAAAATCATTAGTAAATGGTTTTAATGGGGTATATTTGTTAATGAAAAAACGAATAGGAAGAAATAGATATGTAGTAGATTTGGATTTTTTTTTTTCTTTCCTCTCTTTCACTAGGAAATTTTTGGGTAAAAGGAGTAATGGTACACTATTCACAAAATCGACATGATATAAATAGGCTTTTGGATATATTGAAAAGGGAAAGGTTAAAGAAAAAGAAAAAACAAAGGAAGGGCACAAGGGGCAGTGAAGAAGGGAAGAAGAGATAAACAAAACCCAAGATATAAGAGGTGGCAAAACGAAGGATAATACAGATATGTTGTTGTATAATTAGACTAACAGGAAACAGGCAATTTTCTTAGGAAAAAGGGTAAAGCTGAAAGTTGTTTTTTTCAATAAGAAAGTATTGAGTAAAAGGAGTTATGGGGGATTTTTTACAAAATGGATACATAGAATATGTTGTTGTGTATAGATAAAAAATAATAGGTAAAACCCTAGGTATAAGGTATGAGAGTAATGATTTACTATTGAAAAACCGGCTGGGAAGAAGAAGTCACAATTACCCAAATAGACAAATAGAGCACATAACTATATGAAAACACCTAGTCACAAGGGAAACAATTATAAATCATAAACTGGTAAAATGAAGGATAATATAGAAGGTATATAAGTAGACTAAAAGAAAAAAGAAAAATTGCTATGTGTTTTGTTTTTTTTTTGTTTGTTTTTTTTACCTTTCTCTTGGCAAGAAAATACGCTAACTCACTCAGGATTATAATTGATAAATGTATCTCCTCCTCAATGGCATTTTCTTTTTTTTCTCCCAGCCATGTGTCCGTGGTTGAGACACAATAACCGATATGGTGAAAATGCGAATTTCACATATCGAGAAAATGGCTCTCCCCCTTTCGATGGGTGAGAGGCCATTCTTTCCTATCTGGTCTATAACTAGAAAGGAAGGGTATGAATGTTTTAGTATTTGTTTTGTTTCATTGTTGTTGTTGAACATGCCGTCGGGGATGCTGGGAGGCTTCTGTGGGGAATATGGTTAAAATGATATCAGCTAACACTCAGGGCCTGAACTCTCACTCTAAAAAAGCATTAGTATACGATTTTTTGGTTAACCAAAAGATAGAAATTGGTTTCTTGCAAGAGACACATTGGAGACTGATTGATAATGTAAAATGGGGGGGAGAAAGATTTCCACACTTGTTCCAGGCTTCGCTTAGCGATAGCAAAAAAAGGGGGGTTGCTATAAGAGTGGCAAATATGGTGAAATTCGAATTAATGTATCAATATGCGGACAGGGAAGGTAGATTTTTAATTGTTATTTGTAAAATAAACAAAATTAAATATACTCTAGTCAACATCTACCTGCCAAACTCTTTTCCTGTGGTTACTCTAAGAAGGATTTTGGAACAGGTGGAAACGATTAAGACTGGAGTATATTTGATGGCAGGAGATTTCAATTGCGTGCTGGATCCAGTTTTAGTTAAGAAACTTAGCCTCAAGACCCAAGTGAATAGCTCAGTAGTTAAAATGGCAAAAAGTCTTAGAAATATAAAAAATGAGTTTGATTGTTTTGATTTATGGAGATCTTCCTATCCAGAGAAATTGGATTATACTTTTTTCTCTAGAGTCCATTATTCATATTCACGCATTGATATGGTCTGGGGGGATATAAATGCACTAGAAAATTTAGTGAAAAGTGATATCAGGAATAATACATGGTCGGACCATAGTATTAACATATGGATTATGAAAGATCAGTGGAATATTAAAATTAGTATGACATGGAGAATAAATGACTATATACTTCATAATAAAAAAAATCAAGAGGCCCTTAGATCCCAGATAGAAAGATTCTTTAAAGATAACAAACCTAATGAAACTTCACATTCTAATAATTGGTGTACCTTTAAAGCTACAATAAGAGGCAGCTTAATAAGTATAGAAGCGTACCTTAAAAAGTCCAAGAGAGAAGAATTAATTCCCTTACTGGACAAATTAGAGAAAAAATCTAAGGAGAATAAAAAAACACCTTCAAGAGAGAACTCGGAGGCGATTGCCGAGATCAAAAATCAAATCAATCAAATAAGAATTGAGAAAAATACAAAGATAATGGGGAAATTTGAAGCTGAAAGAATACAGTATAGGTAATAGAGCAGATAAACTGTTAACTAAGAAGCTGAGAGAAAAAACTTCCTTTAATAAAATAACTAGAATAAAGAGGAATGAAGAGGTACATATCTCCCCCAAATCCATTGGCCAATGTTTCAACTCATACTACAGCGAATTATATTCCCTATCAACCCAGGATAAGAAAATAGATAAATATTTAGATGGTATTAACACGCCAGTAATATTAGAGAATCAAAAAACAAGTCTTAATACCTTAATAACGGCACAAGAGGTGGAAGAGGTCATTAAAAAGCTGGATAACAATAAAACCCCAGGTCCAGATGGATTTTCAAATCTATTTTATAAAACTTTTGGAGATTTACTTATAAAACAACTGGTAGATCTATTTAATAATATTGTAGATAGGGGACAATTCCCAAAGGAAATGTTGAGGGCAAACATACTACCTATTCCAAAACAGAATAAAGACCAGGGAGAAGTGGAAAATTACAGGCCAATTTCCCTCATAAACACTGATGTAAAGATTTTTTCTGCAATAATAGCAAACAGAATAAAATCGACTTTAGTTAATATAATCGACCCTGACCAAATAGGGTTCGTCCCGGGAAGAATTTCTTCAGATAATACAAGATGTATAATAGATATTATAGATTTAGCTAATAGAACAGAAATACCTATGACAATTCTAACTGTCGATGCAGAAAAGGCTTTTGATAGGGTCGACTGGGAATTTATGAGTAAATCTTTGTTGAAATTTGGTTACCAGGGTTGGATTCATAGAGCCATAATGTCCCTGTACTCTGGCCCCTCGGCTAGGACAGTAGGCCCTAACATATGTGCTGACTGGTTTAATCTCCATAATGGGACAAGACAGGGGTGGCCACTCTCTCCAATCCTATATATTATATCTATGGAGATTCTGGCGATAAATATAAGATCAAATAATTTAATAAGTGGAATCATTACGAAACAGAGAGAGCTGAAATTAAAACTATATGCAGATGATCTAAAACTAACCCTAACTAAGCCAATTACATCTATTACTGCTTTTATGGAAACTGTTAAGAGGTTTAGTGAAGTTTCGAACTATAAATTAAATGAAAATAAATCTATAATTCTAGATATTAACTTAGATACAGCAAGTAGAAATCATATAAGGGACAATTATAAATTCAATTGGGTCAGTACTAGCATTCCATATTTGGGAATACTGCTGACAAAGAAAGTCTCAGATCTAGTGCAGGTTAATTTTTTAAGCTGTTTTAGAAATATGATGAATGCATTGAATAAATGGAAAAAAATTGAAATCACATGGTGGGGAAGAATGAACCTTATAAAAGCCTATCTTTTACCCAAATGGGCATATATGTTTCAAATGATCCCTTTAAAAATCCCCAGACCATGGTTGAATATGATTCAAAATATGATTAATAACTTCATCTGGAAGAATAAGAGACCGAGAATTAACAAAACTCTCTTGGCTCAAAAAATTAAAGATGGAGGCCTGGGTTTTCCAGGTATTAATGATATTTACCTAGCAAATGAATTTTTTCATATATATAGAACTCAATTGGATAGTGTAACAAGGGAAGGATGGTACATCTTGGAAAGTGATAGTTGTCAAGTAAGGGATTTGAGTTCTATTTTTTGGCACAGGTATGCAGACCCGAAACTACGGATTATTAGGCAATCTAACTTATGTATAGACTCAATATTGGAATTTTGGAAAGTAATAATAAGAAAAGCTAATATGGAGAACAAAATTTCAAACAATCTTAAAGTGGAACTACTTCCATATTACATTAAGGATTTAAATATTAGAAGTTGGGTCCAAAAAGGGATAACTCAAATAGAATATTTGTATAACAATGAAAAAATTCAAACCTTCTCACAATTAATGCAAGAATTTCAATTGTCAAACAAGGAACTATTTACATTCTTGAGAGTGAAAAACGATTTAACCCAAAACATTATAAGACACCCCCAAGAAGGAACCAAATTGATCTGTGCACTTCTAAATTATAAAAAAGAAGAGAGGGTTTCTTCCAAGGCATTGAATGCTATACTGAAATTGGAGGCTCCCAAGGTTATTATTGCAAAACAAAAATGGGAGAAAGATTTAAATATTATAATAGATAAAGAAATGTGGTGTGCAATATTATCCTGTGCTTGTGAAACTATTCATTGTTTGAAAACAAAGAAGTACACAGTGATAGAAAGTGTGATAGCTCTTAAAACACCTATAAAGTGGTACCCCTTACACCACTATAAAAGCAATACAATACATACAAAATAATAGGTGGAGCTGTGTAATGTCCTGTATCTGTAAAACAGAATAAATACAAATAGCGTAGAGAGTCTGCACAGATAATTACTGTAAAAGTAGAAATAAAATCGTTGAACTCACAAGATTGGAGT